TGATTACCAAAGTTTAGGTTTGCTATAAGACTTGATTTGCAAAATCCTTTCCCTACTTGATGTCACTAATTGATTGCCCTTGAGACATGTTAGGCTGTATTACTACTAACATCACCACCAAAGCTGCGAGTCGTTATTGTTAATCATTCAGGTGTTGCTATTGCTTATCAAGTCTTTGCTGTTATTACTGAATGATTGCTTCATATTTTATATTTTTCATTAGAGGGGGTTTGGTTTGATTCTTGAAAAATTGTGGTAACGACACAAATCTACCAATTTCATGAACTTAACCATGTCTATCTTTGGATCTTAATGCTAAAGACAAAGGATATTTGTCATAATTGGTTTGCAATTCATCAAATTCATATCCTGTAAAAAATTCATCTTGAAACACAAAAAGATGGTGCATAACAAACCATATACAATATATAGTCATGCATATAAGCACATTCAGCATACGTGATAAAATAATGAATTAAATTTACAATCTTTTTAGCCATTTTTTCAGTTGCTTCATTTGTAAATGATCCATCTTTATGCATATGTCTTTTTTTTTCACACATCCTATCTATAAACTTCGATTCCTAAGTTAGATGATTCTTGAAAAATTAAGATGATATAAGAATTAGAATTTATGTTTACATGTTCATAAATATTCATATATGAGTATAAAACAATTGCGTGAATACTTATAAGATCACACTTGACATTTACATAACGTTTTCTCGATGTTCGATGGTGATATACTTATTTGGCTCGAATGTTCTTTTATTGTTTTTTTTATTTTCTGGTAAAAAAGAAATAAGATAAATCACATATTAAGATATCGAATATATTAAACAAAATATTATAAACAATTAACAAACTTTCATTTGATAAACAATCTTGAACAAATTTTAACCACTCTTCATAACTAATAACATCTGCATATGTCATTAGAGAATCAGTCAACAATTTAGAATTATTAGCGAACGGTAAAATATATTAGGTTGTTAATCTGCTCTTAAAGTCTCTAAATACTTTTTCAACCAATTGCAACACAAGCTTTTTATATTTAGTTAAGACATCAAATAGTTCCTAATAAATTAAATACATTAAATTCAACACATTAATTCAATTCAATTCCAAATTAACAAAAATTTGGATATTGTTGAATAAATATACCACAATCGACTCACATATACTATTTTTTTATCATCATGAACCATCTGTTAACTAAGGTACGTAATAGAAATATTATGCGAGATGACAACTCTAATGTAGCTAGCCAACTTTGTACCTCTAATTAACACAAGCAACCTATTTTGATTAAACTTGATGTGAATTTTTATCCCAATCAATTTAATTTGTTTACTACATCCTCTTGATTTTCTTCTTTCTACTATGGATGTGTCTTCTTCATGTTTAGTAGAAAGAGATATATGCTTTTTAGATAACATAATACTTGTGATTTTGATCAAAATTATATGAAATATATCAAACTATCTCTTTGTACATCCCATGCAGTAAAAACAACCAATCTCCACTACAGTAAATAGACCAATATACATAAAACATAATAAAACCAAAAATATTGTATAGGTACAAGCCATACTGTGTTTCATCATATTCATCATATCATAAGAGTTTTATGCAAAACAAATAAGTTCAAATATAAAAATTACTTTCCATTAAACCATTTAGCAAACCACAATACTACAACAAATAAAGCACCAAGCACGCAATAAAAGGAGATTGTGTTATGTAAGTAACGGTGGTAAATGCTTATAAAAAAATATAAAAATATGTAATAAGGAAAGAAAACAATGACATATATAGACAAATATAAATAATACAAAAATAATAAAATTTGCACATATCGGTAATGTATATGTGTGACGGCATTGAATGGTTTGCGGTTAGTGGCGACGAAAGAGATTAAGAAACCAAAGTGCAAAGTAAATGGGTTAATGGGTTTAGGGAAATACATGCATTGCAGCTTTTTATCATTAAATTGTATTAGTCATTTGGTTTGCCAAAATTCAAGAATGGGGATTGAATCTTTTAAAATGATCAGTTAAGATGTTTGTGTTTACAAACACCTTAATTGATCGATTTTAAAAATTATTTTTAGGTCAATTAAGGCGTTTGTATACAGAAACGCCTTAATTGATATAATTTATAAATTATAAATTAAAAACAAGATCAATTAAGGCATTTGTGTAATCAAACACCTTAATTGATTTTTTTTTAATTTAAATAAAAGATCAATTAAGGCATTCAAAGTGCCAAATGCCTTAATTGATCCTTTATAAATTTATAAAAAAAAAAATCAATTACTCAATTAGTATAACCAAATGTCTTAATTGATTTTATTTATAACTTTATAAAGACATCAATTAAGGTGTTTGGTTACACAAATGCCTTAATTGATCATTTTTTTACATATTAAAAACAAGATCAATTAAGGCGTTTAGTTTATAAAAAAAGATCAATTAAGGCATTCAAAGTGCCAAACTCCTTAATTGATATTTTTTCTAACTCTTTTTCTCCATCAATTAAAGCATTAATGTTTAGTAATACCTTAATTGATGATGTTTTATAAATAAAAATAACAATCAATTAAAATATTTTTTCTGCTAAAGGTATCATTTGTCGTTTGGATATTTATTATTAATAATACAAAATAAAAAGTTGCTATCATATATATCAAGGAGATTATGATAATTATACAAGAATTAATATATGTGAATTCATTCCAACCAAACAAGTAAATTTGAATACGAGATGCCTGAAAAAAAAAAAAAAAAACCTCGGATATTGTACTTTTCTGGGATCACACTTTCTCCTAGAATCTAAGATTTCGCAAATTAAATACCCCTTAAAAGGTAAGATAAATTAAATGAAGATAAACGTGAATATTTAAATTGATGTTTTATTCTCATAAAATATAAATTATAGAAATATATTTTTTAATTTTTTGTGTATGTGACTTTTTTAATATTAAACTTTAAATAAAAATAATATATAATTAAATAAATAATAAAATATATATTTTTATATATACTACAAGATGGCTTAGGGCAGAGGATTAAATTTGCTTTTGATTCTTTACGATTTTATTAAAAAATTCACTCGAATTGATTTGATATTGATTTTTTACATAACGCACATATCAAATTGAGACAGATAGAAATTTATCATATACTAATTATTTCACCATCTTTATTAACCATTTCATTTTGTTGTAAAATTTATATAATTAAAAAACAATAAATAAATAAATAATATGAAAGAAAATAAACAAATATGAATGCTATATGGGCACCTTTATTAACATTATTTTTTATAAAAATGATCTAATTAAAAAAACAATAACTGAAAAAAGAAAAAAATAAAAACAAAAAAGAAAGAAAAAATACCACTATATATAAATTGTTTTGTTTAGCTATCGGCTCTTTTTATTGTAAAATTTATGTAATTAAAAGAACAAAACAATAAAATAAAAAAAAACTAAATTAAGATGTCGCATGGACATCTTAATCGAATTTTTAAAACAAATTTATCTAAATAAAAAATAAAAAAATTTTAAAAATAGTAAAAAAGTTTTAAAATGAAAGAAACATAAAGTGTTATGCCTTAATCAAACGAGTCAAATAATAATCAGATTGAATAAAATTTATATAATGGATAGATTGATACATGTATTACATCTTAATTATATATAAAATAGTTTTTATTAAATTAATATATTAAATAATAATTTTATTAATATAATATATAAATATAAATATAAAATAAATAATTATCAAATTAAAAAGAAAAATAATAAAAAAGAAAATAATATATAGTTAATAATTAGATGAAATGGGCCTACTTTTAAAAAAAACTTTAAAATATTTTAAAATATTAATCAAATAAAAAAGTAAAAAAAAATGTAAATGGAGAGAAAAAAAAAACGGCTCGACATATGGCATACTTTTGAAATCAAGTAGATCAGCAAAAATTAAAATCTAAAAAATTATTTATTAAATATATAAGAAAAATTTTAAAAAAAAAAAATGAAAAAAAAAAAACATATGTCATACCCTCGGTATCAAGTTGATCTGACAAACAAAAACTTAAAACTTTAAAAAATATATATCAACTCCTTTTTCACAAAATTTATGAAATTAAAAACAAAAGGAAAAAACCTAAACTAAGGTGGCGCATGGAGCCCTTTATTGGATTTTTTTTTATAAATTTATTTAATTTAAAAATTAAAAAAAGTTGGGAAGAGAGAAAAAAAAAAGTAAAAACATAAGATTTCACATAAACACTTTAAATGAGGGTGAAAAAGGATAAAATAAATAGAATTTATATAATGAATGGATGAATATATAAATTACATCTTAATTATTTATAAATATAATATTTTTATCCCTAAAACAGGTAAAACAGAAAAAGAAAACTTGATGTAACGTGGTCTCACTTTTAAAAAATAAAACCTACAAAAAAATTTATTAAATATAAAATTTTTTTAAAAAGATGAGAAAAAAAAAAGAGAGTGCCGCATGACACTCCTTTAATCACTTACTGTTCATCCTAAAATGACCAAGGTTTATCTTTATATTTTAATTAATCATAAAATAACAACACTTTTAGTCCTGAAATAATATTATCACAAAATAATTATATATTTTTAAGAAAAACTAAATTAATAAATTAAAGTTAATTCATAAAAATAAATTAAAGTTAAAAACAATAATTAAAATGTTTAATGAATTAATTCAATTAAGTATTACATTAATAAATAATTTATAAATAAAAATATTTAAATATTTAAAAATATATATTGTTTATGACCTCCTCCTTAAAATCACTATTTTACTCCCAAACAAATAATAGTTTTGCTACTCGAACTCACATCTTTAAAGATGATGAGATGATTAAGAAGTTCATGAAGCTAAGAACAGTGGTAATTTGTTGACAATGCACCTGCTGTCGACATTTATAGGCAAGAAATGCATGCATTGCTTTGGCTAAAAGATATGCAAGGTGTCCCTTCGATCAATACTAGTCATTTTGATATGTTTGGTGAATATTGATACATACATTTATGTCTTATAACAGATTATCTATCCTTTTTACGGGGGATCTATCTCTTTGAGCATGATAACTCTCGGGAAGCTTCTGACTGTTCGTGTTTTTTTGGATATCTCGGGGAAGCTATCCAATACACCACTCAGTTCAAAGTTCAGACCTATATCAAAAGATAACCGGAAAAAGGATATATTTACAATCATTCACAATAGCAGATCTATTTACATCCTCAATGGTTGTTGCAGAGAGACTTGTGGCAATAATAATAATAATAATAATAATAATAATAATAATCCAGAACATTCTCCATGTCTATTATATATAGAAGAGCGGAGAGGCTGTTGAAAACCTGTCAGATTTTGTCAGTGGTTTTTGGCCTAGTCAGTATCTACTCTGAAATCTGTTCGCCACAACATGCAAAACCTCAAAACATTAAAGGGGGCACAAACTCAAAATATTAAAGGGTTTGAGTCAAAGTGGGGAGAGAGAAACTGAGTCAAGCTAAATGTACCTATGTATTTACGAAAGCTAATGAACATCCCAAACTTGTTTATGAGGATCAGCGCCAGTATTGAGCCCACCGATGAATAGTCTCAACCATTTGAGGAAACAAGGCACTAACACTCTCATTGATAAGATCCTGGAAGAAGTGTATGCAGGCCTCATCATCCAAGTCCAACCGGAACTTCTCCTGGAGCTACACCAACAGAATTGGTCAAAAACATGGGAAAATAATGATTTTCCAATATGATCATCAGATTTGAAACATAAAGAAACTCACCTTAAGGATGCCTTTTTCAGGATCAGATGCTATGTCAGGAATGTTGGAACCGGCCATAAGATGGAAAAGATTTAAAATAAGGTTACTAGATTTGCGGAGAATGTTGTATGCTTCACAACAATAGGATTTGAACCTTGTATAATATTGGCTGCAAAATGAAATAACATTTATGCATATTAATGTCAAAGTATGGAAATGTACGATCTAATATTTAGCTTATTCAGCATGTGATGGAAAGAAAAAAAAAGAATAAGAAAAGAAAAAGGTAGAAAAAAATTAGGGAAAGGAGGAACCAGAATACCTCTCTGCTCCACCCATAGCTTCAACCATTTCTTTGCAAAGTTTCATTGGTGGTGGAAATGGCTTAGGATCTCGGCCAAGAATAAAACCAAAATCAACATGGAAAAGGCGTCCATCATCCCTAAGCAAAAGATTGTCAAGGTGTCTGCAGCCAATAAAGATTTGTCTTCAGAAATTGCAAATTAAATGATGAAAATCCATGGCTTATATTAGATGCCAATCTGCATGCAAAGGACTTATTCAGATATTATAGCTGAACAAAAGATCACCTGTCTCCAATTCCCAGTATGTATGTGATAACAGAGTAGCCAGCACAGCTTTTTATAAAGGTTTCAAGACAAGTGGCTGTAATCCCAAATGGTCCATGTTCATCATTATGAAATTTCTGCAGATAGCTTATAATGCTACGATGCTCTGAAAGAATCTGCATAAGGAAAAAATGCATACAAAAAGTCTTAGCTAGATCACAACCATTATGAATGCATTATAGAAAACTTGAAGGTAAAATATATATACGAAGAGGATTGGTAATTGGCAGAGTCTATGAATATGGAAAATCTATAGAGTATGCATGCGTACATAATGCTTCATCAACTATGAAGAACAAAAACAAAGTTTTGCAGCTAAATTTGTAGACGAAACAGAGTAATTTAATGCTATTTGCTGTGTCTTTTATAGAATATAATACCTGTGCCAAAGAACGGGATGGTATGAATTCCAACATGCCCTCGTCTTGTCCAGTTGCCAGCACCTTATATGGAGTTAAGTGCAGGTCAAGATTTTCCAATTTTAGTAATCTATCCATAAGAGATACCATTTGAACAACCTACAGGAACCACATCAGTTACATTAACCACATGAAGGATTGCCACCTCCCTGTCTGATCTTTCTATCAGAATTTTGTTAATGCAACAGAAGAATTTTGTCATGTACCAATTGATCTTGCCGAATATCATCACCCTTCTTAAACATGACCTTGCACTGTCCACCATTGGCTGTTCGGAATGTCAGTCGCAAAGGATGCAGTGCACTTTTGAATATTGATGACTCCGAAGGCACAATTCCAGTTATAAGGACACTTGGAGCCAAAGGCGATCGAATTGGCTGAAAACAAGATTGGAATACAATTTTTGTAATTTGTAAAACTCAGCAGACACTTGTTCATAGAAGTCTTAGAAGATTATTTAGTATGGAAATTCCTGTCAGAGAAATACCTCATCAAAATAAGTAAGTTCACTAAGAAGACCAGAAAGGAGCTGTCTAAGCTTTTCAATCTTCTTTTGTGTATTGCCACGCACATTTCTCACATCTCTCATTATAGAACACAATTGCGCTGTCAATTCTGTCTGACGTACCAAACTCTGCCACTTCTTAAATCCATCTTCTTCTCCATTTACACCAGCTGCCAACTGTAACAACATGAGTGATTACTAAACCGCAGAAAGAGAAATCAAGGTCATTAGTCTTGCACTTCATAAGGTAGAATTAATGATGCTAACAATATTACTGTAACTTGCGCCATTCACAAATGCAAATTAGAGACCAATCATTTATCATGATTGTACAACCATTCCTATTCCTAAACAGAAAAGCAGGTGGCAATGTGCAGTAACAGAAAATTGGAACTCATACCTTCATCACATTTTCTTCTAGGAACTCATAGGTACAATAAAATCGTTTTGCATAGGCAGGATCATGAAGTTCCACAGCAACAAACCAGCGTAGAAAACTAGCCAATTCAATATTACGTAAAGCTGTAAAGTTCAAGAATACTTTCAGACTACCAACCAATAAAGTGTATTATTGTTTGTGAATTTTTTGAATAATAGATAAAAATCCAATTTAGTTACTTTAACCAAAAATTTTAATTTACTAAAGTAAATGGTAAATGTACATTTTTTATCTCAAGAAAATAAAAGGTAGTAATTTTTATGAATTGGTACTCCCAACCAAAAATATTCAGCTAATAAGAGGAGGGAAATCAAAATGTCTATCTCCAGTCTTTTATCCCTAATTCCCTATAACTAGGAGGAGGCAAAACAACACAATGGAAGATATTTACTTTGGAAAGAAAGTATAGGGCTATAGAAGGAAAGGAGAGTAAAAGAAAGGTTTGAGAGAGAGAGAGAGAGCATTTGGCCGAAGACTTTTGAGGGAAAAGAAAGCTCTGCCAAAGACATTTGTTAGGAATTAAAAAAAAAAAAAAAAGAAAGAAAGCTGAGTCTTGTCGATTGTTAAAAGGAGAAGAAAGAGAAATAGCAAAAGCTTTGAAAAACAGTGTAAAAATTGTACTGCAAAAATGTAGCATATATTGTGTTAAAACACAAACACACACAAACATTACATTCACACAAGCATCAAGGGGCATACAACGTTGCACGAGGAATTGCGAAAGGCGAGATTTATCAGTGCGCTCAAATCGAAGTGCCTGAACTAATTGGAGCAAGTAACATTGGAGCTCTTCATCATCAGCTCTTTCAAGAACACTAACAGCATATGCACGAACCTGTTAAGAATGATCAACAATTAGACATTATTCAATCAGGAATAAGATATTATAGATTATCTAATACAATCTACACTGAAGACAAAATGCTATAAGGATACTTTAGTTGGACTCTTTCCAGATCAGCGTGTCAAGTATGAAGTAACAGATTTTGGCACAAATAGATACATTGTGAGATGTCCTTCCCCTAACTTTAAACCTTTACAATGATGTGTACCTAACCTTGTCTGTACATACACTAGATTTTGTAACACAATAATGCTAAAAATAGAAGACTTACTTTAATACCTTAGAAAGATTAGAAGAAATTATGTTAAAACAATAAGGGAGAGAAAATTAGTAAGAGGGCAGCAGTTTTATAACGTACAAAGAGCAAACATATAAGAGAAATGAAGTACAATGTGGAAAAAAGTCACTCACTTGAAATATTTAAAAGAACACTATGTTGGTGACAAACCAGCTCAGTTAGCCACATTATATATAAGAATAATCTAAGACCTTTAATGTTAAAAAACAACAACAACACACTAAGCCTTATATCCCATACTCTGGGATCAACTGTATGAAAAACCAAATAAGAAAATCAAGTTAGATTGTAGTTTGAATGTTAACAACACACTAGACCTTTAATGTTAATAACACAGTAAAAAGCAACCTAAGATCTAAGGGTATCTTACACAGTTTCCAACAGAGGTCCCAAAAGATGTTCCCACAAAATACGAGCCAAATCCTACTTAGACCTACCTCTTCACTTTCAAAAAGCGGTGATAGAAGCTCCAATGCATCGCAGACATCAATCATCTCCCACTTACCCATAAGTTCTATTGCCTGCTTTGCTTCCTGCACACATGGACCAAAATCTTCAAATATGAACATTTTATGTTTAATTAGAATAGTTTCTATTTATTTTGTTCAGTAACGATACCAAAAGAAAAACAGTAAGCGGAGCAAGGCAGCTAACCCAGAAAAGGTTAGCAGTTCAGACCTGTAAATCTGAGCTTAATGCACATTAATGCCTACCAATTACAGAAACAGATCCTTTTACAAATCATCATATCACATAGAAAAGTCACTTTCTTCTGCAGCCCTTCCTGACATCTTTCTATAATTTCAAAAAATTCGATGGTTTATCGGATCAAAAAACAGAATTCATAAAATACAGACAAATTCAAGGGAGACTCGGTGACACACCATATATGCTCTCTAGTATTAGATAACAGGTGATAACATGGATCAAAAAACAGATTTCATAAAATATGGACATACTCAAGGGATACTATGTGAAACAGCATATATGCTCTAGTATTAGATAAAAGGTGATAACATATAGAATAAGAAGATGCTAGCATGATGAATTAGAAGAAATTGATGAGGAACAAGAGCTACAATGAAGGACTAATCAAGGAGTAGTTTTCCCCTAGACATTGGAATTCACAAGAAAAACCAAGAACAAAAGGGAAATGCTAACCTGAACATCACTCCATTCAACACATCGAAGAAATTTTGTGAGGGCCCTCTTCTCAGACATTAATGAGAAGCGAAATTTCCAAAGGAGCTGCCTCTCATCTCCACTCAAAGCCCTTGTAGGTGGATATTTCAAAATTCTTTGTATTGACCTTACAATTAAAGATATATTATATACCTTTTTCTCAAGAAAAAATGATCAATGAACACAATTATATCAGACACTTAGAAGAATACATATTCTAGGAATAATAAAATAACCTATGAGAGTCTCCAAGAGTCGTTGGTCTCATATTGCTCAACCAAATTTGAGTCAAAACTTGCTACATAACTATAAACTTCCATGCACAATCAGATGAATCATTGTATCATTCTGTCTCAACTATAATATGCATGTTAGAAGGAAACATCCAGGCTGACAGACAAATTTGCAGGGTAGGAGAAGCTTCAAGTTGTTTTCAAACTTACTTTCGTTCATTAGAGCTTGGCTTAAGGTCCCTGTCAATGATACCACGAGTTAAACTCCTTGCAAGCTTCAATTGCTTGTGCTCGGAGGGGTTTATCTTTCCCACTTCAGGGTCCCACACAATGACCAGTTCATTTGATGAAGCTATTGCAGATGGTAATAAGAAATTGGCCCCTGCTTCCTGCACAACAGAAGAAAATAAGGTAAGATTATTGTGGTTGGCAAACAGAAATTTGCATCAAAAAGTTAATGTAGCTTCCTTCAAAGTATGCATTCAAATGTAATTGTAGAAATGGCTAGAGATGGCATGAATATGTTAGCCTTACGTAATAAGTCCCAGACAAATAGAGTATAGGTAAGAAGAAAAGTACAATTTTGTTACCAAATGTCAGATTTTAGCTTTTCAACTAATATTAAACATTCAATGGTTAATTGTCATAATTAAATTTGACCAGCATATGATTTGTATGCGAAAAAAAAGGGTAAATTACAAAAAAAAAAAAAAAAAGCACCATGTGGTTGGACGTAAATAAACCCATCATCTTTACAAAACTTTGATTTCTTCCATTAATTATAAAATCAAGAGTGTAAAAGGAAAAATGACATATACGACACTGTTAGAGAGAGAAGGGCTAAAAATTCAAGGAAAAATAAAAGGAGATAAAGAAAAAAAGCAAAAGAAGGGAAAAAGATAATGGTTTAGCTTCAAATTTAACAAAAAAAAAAAAAAAAACCTCTTATCACTTCTTTAACCACATGGGGCATATTTATTCCACCCTTAACCACAGAGTGGGATTTTGTAATTTACCCTAAAAGAAAAAAGAGAAAAAAATTCATACTCAGGTTATTATTATTGAGAAAATAATCGCAGCATTTGTAACGATTCAACAAAAACCACTGGCCAGTAAATTATATGATAATAGTGGATCTGGATCATACCTGAAAAACAACTCGATGCTCCAAACTACAGAAGTCAACAATCAAGTACAAATGAGAGCTTCCATTTTTCAAGACTTCCCTCTCCTTAATTCTTTCCATAGCCTTGAATGTGAGACGGTCTAGCCAATCAACAGGTTGAATCTGTCCCCTTTCATACTTATTTGTAAGCTTTTCCAAACGCTCCAACTCTCCACGCTCATGCCTGGGGACCTATCGTGGAATGCATTACCATATACATTAAAAAAAAGTAACTATCTAAAGAAATGCCAAACCAGAAACATTATGCACCAAGAACCAGAACCTTTCCAGGGGTAGTTGTAGGAAATGATCCATCTGCTTGTTTTCCTAACCAGAGCCTAAGTTTCTGTTTCCCTGTTTTAAGTTGCATTTTGCTGTTGAAAAGAAGAATAGTAGCCCCACCAATTAACCTGTCATCTTTCCCACATGACACATCCCAAACCTGAGCATTCCAGGAGATTGACAATAAGGTCAAAGCAGGGAAGTTGAAATATTCTTTTTAATGAAGAAGAAGAAGAAGAAGAAAAAGTTACTAACAAAAGCCTAATAACATTAATTTTCAGCGATTTGAATGTCAAAGGAAAAAATCTCCATGCAAGCAAGAATGCAAACTCTAAAGCTTAAATCTAGAGCACTACTAAAACAAACGAAATTAGCTAATCTCCATCTATTATCTGTACGAAATATACCAAAGAAAATCTAACACCTATAGTAACACATGTCCATGTAACACTTCAGGGCCATTCAAACCCAATCTCAAGAATAGATACCTCATCTTTAGAAGCTAACTTTTGAGGGGTTGTCTCCAGACCAAGATATACTGGTAATCAATAATTTTAAAAACTTTAATAAAACATGTGCAGTGCCCACCAAATGGAGTTATTTACACACAAATGACTAACATCAATAACTTGCATACTAGGAACAATACCAGCAAAGACATTCAAACTATAAGAGACTAATTGATGATTACTAGCATTCTGAAAAAGCCTTTTCCATTTCAGAATATGCAGGAATTCCTACAGGAAGATAATGCAACAGACGCAGCTAATGTTTTGCCCTGCATGCCTAGAAAGAATCAAATAAATGGGACATTGAAATGGTAGATGTCACAAAATGCATGGAACAAAGTTCTCCAACGTATATTTTTAACACTCATTAACTGACACACAATCCACATTGCCAACCCACACAAACAGAGAATACAACTTGAAAGCACCAATACAATAAGAAAGCAAAGGAACTTCAAATTTTCTACTCACTGTCAAAGCAAGTTGTGAGTGTGCAGTTAAATCTCGATATTTAGTACTCAATGTGATTAGTTCATTCCAGCAATACAATGGTCCTGCAGACTCCAACCTGATATAAGAACAAGATATCAATACCCTAGCACTGATAAACTATTTGAGAGAGGAAACATACTAAAAAACTTCAAACACGAGTAAAGAAATCGAGTAGTTAGTTGATTAATGGAAATTTTCTGTTTTCCATAAAAAAAAAAAACCTTGTTTTTGTTGGAAGGCCAAATGGAGCACCATCTATGTACAATTGACACTCTACATAGAGCTCTGCTCTCCTCTCCTCTTCAGTGGAATCAATTCCTGTAAAGAAATGGAAACCGAGGGCAGACAATTATACCGATATTTGAAAAAAAAAATTAATAATTTCAGATTTTCAAATTGAAAATGAAAGAAAATTTGAATTTCACTACGCTGTATCATAAAACTTTTAATCATGCGCTAAATTTTTTGTACTAATTGTAATACTGAAATCATCATCAAAATTGCTAGTATGATTCGGTGGCGTACAAATTCACAAATTAAAATAAAGTGACTAAAATTCGGAATAGTAAAGTGAATTTGGACTGAAACCTGAATTGGGAGATCTGGTGGAGGGCAAAGTCCCTTCCAATCTCTCGACACGAAAGGTAACGGGAAGATTGATGTCGCAAGACAAGAAGAATCGAAACTCGTTGCCACTCATTCTCTCTTTTTTTGGGTTCTGATTAGCTCTGAATTTTCATAATTAATAATAATGGATTTTTAAATTCAGAAGGTTTGTCCTGCCAGCCAAAAGATGGAGATGGAGTTCGCGTAGAAGGCAAGAGAACTGAAACCGAATTTGGCTTTCTATAAAAAAGTAAGGGTAAAATTAACAAATAATCACCTTCGCTTGGTGTCGCTTTAAAATGGTGATTTAAATATTAAATTTTTTAATTTAGCCACTTCAGATTGAGTAGATTTTTTTATGTTATTGAGTTGCAACTATCTAGCATTGTAGTAATGTGGTATTGCCATATCAATTATCAAATGCCACATAACATTATCAATAAATCATATACTATTAATATGATATTGTTAAATTTAAAAAATAGAAAATAAATTTTGATCATTTAATTTTTTAAGAATTTTTAACTTTAAAATTTTAAATTTTTAACACTAATATATAAATCCTCAAATTTTATAAAAGAAATAGAAATAAGTATTTGATATTTTTATTGCATGTAATTAAATTATAAATTTTATTTTATTATAATTATATCATTTAAGTTTAAAAAATGAATAAATATTATTTAATTATTAAAATTACTAAAATAACATTACTTCAAACCTTTGTGATTCAATCCATCTAGATAAATTCAAATATTCCATATTTCATAATATCAAATTTTTAATTATAATAAAAGTTCATAATTTTAATTTCATACAATAAAATATTAAAAGAAATATAGATAACAAAACAAATTTCATATTTCATAATGCTAAGGTTCTAATTCCAATAAATTTATGTTATCTATATTTTTTTAATATTTTATTATATGAAATTAAAATTAAAATTAAATCTTAACATTATGAAATATGAAATACTTAATTGAATTTATTTAAATTGAATGAAAAATATTTGAAGTAATATTATTTTAGTAATTTATGCAAGTAAATAATATTCATTCATTTTTCATATTTAAATAATATAATTACAATAAAAGGAAAAAATTATTATTTAATTCTATGTAATAAAAATATTAAGGCTAAAGGGTTAAAAAAATTCATGAATTATAATTAAAAAATCGTTCAAGATCTTCTTTTTTTTTTTATTACAATCAATGTAGACACCCACTTTCTAAATTTGTTTTTTCGGTGTGCTTTGGATAAAGATTATAGAATGAAAAACAATAATAAGTAAAAATAGAATTTTAGTTCTAGTGAAACTTTATCGGAAGTTGAATTTTGAAACTGGATAAAGGGATCCTGTTTTCAAATCAAGGAAAACAAATTAGGAGATAGAGAGATTTTGATTTTCAAACCTTCGTTCAATCTTAAATTAACCCTATATAAGAGCCAGCAATCACAAGAACAGGGACACACAGAGAAAGGGGAGAAAATAAGAGGCAACCAGAATAAAAAAAAAATTCAAAGAAGCTATAATTTGTAGTAAGAGATTTCTGGAAAATTCATTGTTTAGATTAGAGGATTAGTTTTTTTTTAGGATTTTTTTGCATTTTTTGGGAATTTTCTAGAAATTCAAGAATTAGGTTGAATTTTTGGAAGAAAATTCAAATTTTCTTGCAACTTTTCGACAAAAAATCCAGTTTTCAGCGATAAAACCCAGAAATCGATGATTTTTTTTTGGTGTCATTCGACAACAAACGGCGATCAAAAATTGCTTAGAGAAGGAAACAAAAGAAAAGAGAGAGAGAGTGTGAGGGAGACATCTGAAGAAAAAAAGAGAATTTTTAGCTTTTATACCAATGCAAAACGACACCATTTTAAGGAGTTAAAAAGTGAGTAAGATCCGTATGTCGCCTGAAATCTGACCCGACCCACAGTGCATTGACCCGCCAACCCATTTTCATTCTCCTTATTGAGAGTCGTTATACCAAGTCGTCTCAGCCAAGTTTGTCTCTGGAGCCGCATTCTGTTCGAGCCCAGCCGAGCTGCACCAAGGTTTTTTTTTCTTTATTTCTCTACTTATTTATTATTTATTTATTTATTATGATTTTTTTGCTTATATATTTATTGATTAAATTGAAATCATTTATTTATTTAATTAAACATTCTTTAATTTTCAATGATTTTTTGAAAATAAAATTTAAAAAAATGTATTTTTGAAGAAAAGTTAAAAGTATCAATTTTTCTTGAAAATAAAAAATTTTCAAAAAATATTTTTGAGGAAAAGTTGAAGGTACCAATTTTCTTTGAAAATAAAGATTTCAAAAAGCATTTTTTAGGAAAAATTAAAAGTATCAATTTTTCTTGGAAATAAAAATTTCAAAAAGCATGTTTGAGAAAAAGTTGAAAGTATCAATTTTTCTTGAAAATAAAAAATTTCAAAAAATATTTTTGTGAAAAAGTTGAAAGTATTAATTTTTCTTGAAAATAAAAAAATTTCAAAAAGCATTTTTGAGGAAAAATTGAAAATATTAATTTTCCTGAAAAAAATATATTTTTGAAGAAAAGTTGAATATATCAATTTTCCTTGCAAATAAAGATTTCAAAAAGTATTTTTAAGGAAAAGTTGAAGGTATCAATTTTTCTTAGAAATAAAAATTTTTTAAAAAGCATTTTGAGAAAAAATTGAAAGTATTAATTTTTCTTAAAATTAAAAATTTCAAAAAAATATTTTTGAGGAAAAGTTTAAAGTATCAATTTTTTCTTAAAAATAAAATTTCAATGAAAAAGTATTTTTGAGAAAAAGTTGAAAAGTATCAATTTTTCTTGCATAAAGACATGAATTTTTTTTAAAGTAAAAAAATAATAAAAGAGATCCCTATGAAAGGTTAAGTATTATTCCTTTTTCTTTTCTTGGAAATATTTTAATGTTAAATAATCTGACAACGAAGCCTCTGCAAAAAAAAAATAGTAGTTTTCTTATATACTCTTGAGGTAAGAGAATTTTCTTAATTTTTTGTCAAAAGTATTAGAGTCAATTAAAAATAACTTTTAATTATTAATTACTTTGTAAAATTTTTAAGGTTTAATGGATAACACGAAATCGAGTTGGTACCATCTTTCGATGGGCATTATAGGAGTGCTATAACCTTCTTCACACATAACCGTACTCACAGACCTAGTTCTTATTTCACAGACATTGAATTTACCTTTTAAAGATACCTATGTCAAACTTAAGATTTCTCTTTAAAAAGTGATAGATTCAGTCAAGTGGCCAATCGTACTTAAATAAAAAAGATTAATGACACTCCTCAAGTCAATGTCTAGCGATAGGTCCACGGACCTAGATGTTATGACAGTTTAGTGACTCCGCTGGGAACAAGTCGAGAGTCAGGCTAGTAAATAAATTTATGTTATCCAAAAGCCCAATAAAATTGAATTGTTTGTAAAGATTTTTCATTCATTTGTTCTATTTATTTATTTTTCTTCTAATGTCATTTATATGCATGTGCATAACATGAGTTTTATACCCGAGCTTCGTCCCTCTAGGAGGGAGTAAAAGTATCTATGCTTTCATGAGGTTTTAATACCTCCATAGTGGCTAACGAAATACTCTCACTCAAATTAAACTTTTTTTCACTTGTAGCCTATAATGGACAAGAATTGAGGTACCTTACTAGTCTGTGATGGATAATGATATAAGGAGCAATTTGAAAACCTTTAGATTTTCAACCTTTAAACCACATATAATGAACCTTATAAATGCCTAACCTATAGATAGAGCCATCTCCTTCCTTCTAGAATTAACCAAAAGCTTATGATTCATTCTTTTATTATGTATGATGTTCTAATTTATTTATTTATATATTTTTTTCTTTATCATGTGTACTAACCATCTCTCTTATTCAATTTTACATGATTCATACTCATATTCATGAAGTTGTATAAAGAATATTTGCTTGAAAAGACAGTCTTCAACAAAGAGTTTTTCATGGATTCCACAGAACGACTGTCTGCTCTTCATCTGTATTAGTTCATTGCGAGTCACCAAATGAGGTAAAGGTTCAATTAGAAAAAATCAACAAAAAAAGGGGGATTGTCCACCAATAAGCTATGCTTCTACCTTGTCTCAAGAAACATCCATCTTTCTTAAACAAAATAATTTAAAAGATTTGGATGATATATGAAAGAAGATGGGTCCATCAAGACAAAAGGAGTTTTGCTAAAGATATGGACATGTAGCATACCTCATTGCAATGAATGTTGAGAATCAACTAATTAGAGGTGCAGTGCAATTTTGAGATCCTTCGTATAAGTGTTTCATCTTCAATAAAGTTGATATAACACCAATCATTGAAGAATATCCGAATTTGTTAGGTCTACACCTCATGGCTCCTAACAAGATATATGTCAAAAAACATAAATCAGAATTTCGTAAAAATCAAGCCCATCTTATGAGGATAAACAAAGAGATTATGGATTCTCATACAAAGAAGAAATAAGAACAGGTTTGTTTACCTTGAAAGTTCTTTCATAATTTTCTAATACAACATGCAGACGAAGAATAAGGGTTAGACGTGTTTGCCTTAGCCATATACGAAATGGTGATTTATTCAAAGGCTTTAGGATATATTGAAATAGCAGTGGTTGATTTCTTCGAAAGTGTGATCAAAGGCTGCAACCCTTCAATAATGATATTGGCAGAGACTATCAGATCATTGAGTTATTGTCACCATAATGAATGGTGTTTTACAAGTTGTATACAACTATTATATTTATGGATGAAAAGCCATTTTAAGTGTAAAAGAAATGCATTCTCGAAACTATATTTTCACAAAGAATTCTATGAAAGCGAGTGGCCATAACAAAAGTATGAAAAAGAGTGGGTAGCTTTCTTACAAAAGCTGACTAGCACTAAGGTAAAATGGTTGGTCCCATGGATGAATAGGGAACTCATGCTATATCAGTGTGGAAACAACACCATGGTTTCACTTTTAGGTTTATAGAGAGCAACAAGTTATGCATCACTATTGGTGAGAAGATAATTTGAGGTAGAATAATTCATTCCCATGACACATAAACTTCATCAGTTAGATTTTTCTTACAATGAGCTAAAAGCATTTCAGAGGAGGAACGATGTGATTAAAGCATGGAAAAACCCCCCACAGGGTGAGTCCTGGACCTTTCACTAAAAATGTCACTCATGGGTACTTGGTCTAGAGAGCAAGACAAGAAAAAGAAGTGGTATTCACTCCTGAAGGTTTTCAACAACCAATAGGAGAAAAGCTTGAAGA